CAAGTTCATTAGTTGTGACAAATTCACCATACTAATGTAAAATATTAACAGTAGGGAACACTGGATATGGATATATGGGAACTCTCTGGACTATCTTCAAAACTTTTCCATAAATCTAATCTCTACAGGCATACCTCGGAGATATTGCAGGTTTAGTTCTGGACCACCACAATAAAGTGAATATCACAAGAAAGTGAGTCACATGAATTTTTTGGTTTCCCAGTGCATATAAAAGTTATGTTTACGCTATACTGTAGTCTATTACGTGTGCACTAGCATTATGTCTAAAAAACAATGCATGTACCTTAATTAAAAAATACTTTATTGCTGGAAAAGGCTAACCATTATCTGAGTCTTCAGTGAGCTGTAATCTTTTTGCTGGTGGAGGGCCTTGTAAAAAGTTCAATATCTGCAAAGCACAATAAAGTGAAGTGCAATAAAATGAGATATGCCTATATGTACTGCTTTGTCTCTAGTAATAGTTTTTAACTTAAAGTCTATTTTCTCTGATATTAGTATAGCCACCATTGCTCTCTTTTGGTTACAATTTGCATGGAATATCTTTTTTTCATTTCAATTTCAACCTCTATGTATCCTTAGATCTAAAGGGAGTCTCTTATAGACAACATATAGTTGGGTCATGTTTGCTTTTTTTTTAATCCATTTTTTTCAATCTATGCCTTTTGATTGGGTAGTTTAATCCATATATATTTAAAGGACTGACTTTTGCCACTTATTTGTTTTCTAAATGTCTTACAGCTCTTTTTGTCCCTCATTTCCTTCATTACTGCCTTCCTTTGTGTTTAGTTGAATTTTTATAATGACATGTTTTGATTCCTTTCTCATTTCCTTTTGTGTATGTTCTATAGATATTTTCTTTGTGGTTACCATGGGGATTACACATAACATCCTAAAGTTACAACAATCAATTTTGGTTAGACACCAACTTAACTTCAATTGCATACAAAAATTATTCCCTTACATCTCTGTCATCCTGCCACTTCATGTTACTGATGTCACAAATTACATCTTTATTTTTATTTACTTATTTATTTATTTTTTATTTTTTGGTCAGGAAGATTGGCCCTGAGATAACATCCATTGCCAATCTTCCTCTTTTTGTTGAGGAAGATAAGTCCTGAGCTAACATCTGTGCCCATCTTCCTCTATTTTGTATGTGGGATCCCACCACAGCATGGCTTGATGAGTGGTGTGTAGGTCCACACCCTCGGGATTTGCATCTGCAGACCCTGGGCCACTGAAGCAGAGTGCATGAACTTAACCACTATGCCACCAGCTGGCCTCTACAAATTACATCTTTATATATTTGTACCCATTATAATTATTTTATGCATTTGACTTTTTTTTTTTTTGAGGAAGATTAGCCCTGAGCTATCATCTGCTGCCAATTCTCCTTTTTTTTTTTCCTGAGGAAGATTGGCCCTGGGCTAACATCCGTGCCCATCTTCCTCTACTTTATATGTGGGACACCCGTCACAGCATGGCCTGATAAGCGATGCGTAAATCCATACCTGGGATCTGAACCCGCGAGCCCTGGGCCGCTGAAGCGGAGTGCATGAACTTAACTACTATGCCACTGGGCCGGCCCCTTGCATTTGACTTCTAAACACTATAGAATATAAAAAGGGATTTTACAAACTAAAATTACAATAATAATTTTTTAAAATTTAACCATGTATTTTCCCTTACTAGAGATCTTTATATATTCATATGGCTTCAAGTTACTGTCTAGTGTCCTTCCATTTCAACCTGAAGCATTGCCTTTAGCATTTCTGGTAGAGCAGGTTCAGTGGTAGTGAATTCCCTCAGCTTTTGTTTATCTGGGAATGTCTTAATTTCTCCCTTATTTTTGAAGGACAGTTTTGCTGAATATAGAATATCCAGTTGACAGTTTTTGATTCCAGCACTTTAAATATATCATCCACTGTCTTATGGCCTCTAAGGTTTCTGCTGAGAAATTGACTGACAAACTTATTGAGAATCTCTTGTGTGTTACAAGTTAATTTTTTCTTACTGCTTTCAAGATTCTCTCTTTATCTTTAGGCAGTTTGATTATAGTGTGTCTTGGTATGGATCTCTTTAACTTGTTGAGGGTCATTGAGCTTCTCAGATTTGTAGATTTAGATCTTTCCTCAAATTTGGGAAGTTTTTGGCCATTATTTCTTCAAATAATCTCTCTGCCCCTTTGTCAGTCTGTTTGGGCTGCTATAACAAAGCAGCATAGACTAGGTTGCTTATAAAAAACAGAAATTTATTTCTTACAGTTCTGGAGGCTGGGAAGTCCAAGATCAAGGTGCTGACAGATTCAATGTCTGGTGAGAGGCCCTGGCCTGGTTCATAAAAGGAACCTTGTTAAACTAATCCTTATCTTCCTAATCACTTCTCCACGAATTAACTACCATAGCCCAAGCCCTTTTGCCTTGTCATGTTTTCACAAGTTAATACTCTTTGTCCAAATCAGTATATAAGCGTTCAACTCTAACTGCTTCTTTGGGTCTTCATTTTTCTTATGAAGGCTCCCACGTATATGTAAAAATAATAATAATGATAAAAATTTATATCCTTTTCTTCTGTTAATTTGTCTTATGTCAGTTTAATTCTTAAGCCCTGCTGGAGATCCTAAGAAGATAGAAAAGAAATTTTTCCTCCCCTACACTATCAAAATATCTAAAAGATTGTGCGTGTGTGTATGCATGTGTGTGTGTACACACAACTTCCAGGCAGTTTCTGTATTCACAGGGAAAAGTAAGGGCTAAGAATAGCCCACATTATTTTGAAACAGAGAACCAAAGAAGGGGAACAAATATACTGGACATCAAGATTTGTAGTCAAGCAAATAGTAACCATTAGAGCCAGATGGTATGATTGACAAATGAATGGATAAACAAAACGTGGTATATACATATGTTGGAATATTATTCAGCCTTAAAAAGGAATGAAACTCGGACACATACTTCAACAAGGATGAACCTTGAAGACCTTATTTCCTAAGTAAAATAAGCCAGACACAAAAGGTCAAATATTTTATAATTCTACTTACATGAGCTACCTAAAATAGTCAAACTCATAAAGAAAGAAAGTAGCTTGGTGGTTATCAGGGGCTAAGGGAAGGAAGAATGAGGAGTTATTGTTTAATGGGTACAAAGTTTTAGTTTGAGATGATAAAAATATTCTGGAAATGGATGGTGGTGATGGTTGCACAACAATGTGAATGAACTTAGTGCCACTGAATTGTACACTCAAAAATGATTCAAATGGTAAATTTTATGTTATGTATATTTTATCACAATTAAAAAAAAACCCAAACATATGGTATGGACTACTAGACCAATAGGAAAAAAAAAATGTGAGCACAGAAACAGACCCATAGAAGCTTGGCATATGATAGAAAAGACAGGAAACTCAGTGGACAAAAGAGTGAACTATCCTATGAACAGTGCTGGATAACTGGCTACAGAAATGGGAAAAGATAAAATTACATCCCTATCTCACATGACACATGAATTAAATTACAATCGAATGATACTATCAAATTATGAAAGGCCAAACTTTAAAACTTTTAGAAAAAATATATATGGTAATATCTGTATGATATCAGTAGAAAAGATTTCTTAAACATGGTATGAAAAGCTATATTTGCTTCCTAGGGCTCCTGGACCAAAGTGCCACACACTGGTGGCTTTCAACAACAGAAATTTATTTTCACACAATTCTGGGGGCCAGGAGTCTGAAATCAAGGTATCAGCAGATTTCTGAAACTCTGGGTCTCAGACACTTCCTGTGAGACTCTACTGGGTAGACTCTTTCCTTGTCTCTCCCTAGCTTCTGATGATGACTATCAATCCTTGGTGCTCTTTAGCTTGCAGCTACATTACTCCAATCTCTGTCTCTGTTAGCACATGGAGTTCTCCCCGTGTGTCTCTGTCTCTGTTTCCAGATTTCCTTCTTTTAATGAGGACAGTGGTCATATTGTGTTAAGGGCCCACTCTATTCCACTATGTCCTTATCTTAACTAATTATATCTGCAGCAACCCTATTTCCAAATAGGGTCACATTCTGAGGACCTGGGGAGTAGGACTTCAACATATCTTTTTGGGGGACACAATTCAACCCATAATAAAAGCACGAGCCAAAAGGAAAGGACTGATATATTTTATCACATTAAATAAAAAGTGAGCAATTTATTCCTGTCTTCTGTAAGATATGTCAGATAAAAGATATCATGAAAAAGAGAAGTCCTTTTCCCCATTGTTAGTAATCTTGGTACTATAAAACAAAGGTAAGTACTCGACAAACAAAAACTACATACTTCAACAATTTTTTTTATTGAAAAAGAAACATATTTTAAGATTTTAGTATAAAAATATAAAGTAAAAATAATTCTTTTTCCCATCCCTAAGTCATATGTCCTCAAACATTTCAGTCTTTTTCTTTGGGTTTTAAATCCTGGTTGAAAAGTTCTTCTCCACCATGAGATTACTTTTGAAATTCTCCAAAGTTTTTTCAGTGTAAGGGGTAAGGCAGGGGATATTTCTTTCTTTTTTTCCATATGACTAAGTATTCATTCATTCAGTCATTCATTTATTCACAAATATATTTTGCATGGGTATTATGTTCAGGTACTGTTCTAGGTACTGGGGATGCAGATGTAAACAGTACTAAACGTTCTCTGCTATCATGGCTCATATTCTTGTGAGAGGAGACAGGCTTTAAAAAACAGAATAACAAATGAGTAATTCGTTAGTATGTAGAGCTTGATTAGTGTTATGGAAAAAGTAGTGTAAGGAGGGTCAGAAGTGCCAGGTGTCTCAAGTACGTTGCAAATTTAAATTTGAATGAGCCTTTTAGAAAAAGCCCTATTTGATCAGAACACATTTAAATGAACATTTGAGCATACATCCAAAGAGTATAAATTATGCTGTGGTTAGGAATAACAATTAGAAGAGATTAGACAAATCCTCCAACTAATTTTGTTTCTACAACTGGTTAAATTACATGGTGAAATGAAATGTTTTGTGCCATGATTTTGGAAGATAAAAGTAATTGCTGTTCTTCTGGCAGGGGCAGGGGCAGATAAATGATGCAACCTTAAGCAGATATATACTTGATATTGACATTTGGCAGTGGAGGAGTGGGGGTGGGGTGGAGGGGTGGGGGCAGATCTTTATTTGTCTCTTTTCTGCTGATTTACCTGTGCTTGTCATTTCCACTTTTACCATTTCTCCTCCTGCTCACATGAGACTACATTCCCTGATTTTTATTAGCTGATCAGTCATTATAGAGTCTTTTATCAAAAATACCTTCAGCACTTTTGGCCAGTTTGACTTTTGGTAGTGAAAAGCACAAGCCATTCAGAAATAGTTCCTTGTTCACCAAACATAACTTTGTTTTTTTAACAAAGTGATACTATTTTGAGTGGAACTTGCTTATTTCCATCCACCAGATCCAGGTGTATGAGATGACTCCTGCAAGGTCCTGCACAGCACAAACTCCCTTTGCAGGTTGCATATATTGACAGAGATTGGCTCCCCTGACCGCGACCTCTTACTGGTGCCCTTTTTCTTTCAACTTGGAGAATGTTCTGCCTTTATGGCAACGTGGAAACTACTGATGTGATATACTACTTAAGAGATGGATCGTTATTCTTTCTTCTGGAATCTTCACGAGAGTAGATGATAAAGACAGAAAATGTTAATTGCTACATAAGTGTTTGGAAACAGAATCGTCTAGATTTCTGCTAGCAAACCGATATCAGGTAGACCCCTGAAGGTTCTGTTGGCAATTTCACTTTCTTGGAATAATTTGGTCACTTTTCAGAGATATTAAAAAAGTGTATGTTGCAAAGTCTTTTGGTGGGACTGCTTTGCTCAGGCTGCCTTACTTTGTCATATGGTGGGATATTTTCACAGTATAGCACCCTGAAAATGAAATGTTACTTTGAAGGCACTGTTTTTTCCTTGCAGATTATTTAGCCTATTAAAAAGGCCCCGAAAAAACTGGCTTCTTGGTCCATGTCAATCAAGTGCTCATTAGTTACAGAGACAAAAATTCTGTCATTTTCCTTAAGCTCAAATATTCCACCTTGATAGATGGAATAGAGTCCATATTCGGAATCTTTAGACCAACAACTATTTCTAGCACTTTTCATCAGCAGAATAGGGTCAGGATAGTCTGTGTTTTTGTAAATATATTGTACCATCTGTTTGTTTCTCTTTCTGTTCCCTTCTCTTGCAACTGTTCCCAAAATTTCCTCAGGTTCCTGAAATCGAAAGTATGTTTGGGAATAGATGTAATAAAACCCCGTTTGATGGATAACCAGCTCTCCATTCCTCAAGTGCAAATTATTCAGGAATGAATGTCCTTTTCTTGATGTCTCCCAGGAGTTTATTTTCTGGCCCAGAGCTTTTTCATTTTTGGAGCCTGGATGAAGTTTAGAGAAAAAGAAAGTTAAAAGAAGGGAGTTTGTAGCAAAGCAAAGAGTTTCCTAATAGCTATGGCTAGCCTATTTTTCGGTTGGGATTGTAAAGGATTTAAATTCTAGTCATACAGAAATCTGTAGGCTCCTGTATAATTGTGACATGTTGGGAGTCCGTTACCTTTCTGTACCTCATCTGCCACTTATGTCACATCTGCCACACTCAGCTCTGAGGATGGTTCACTCAATAGCAATCTTTACTCCTGAGCAGAACTTCTGTCCTGAACTCCTGCCTCCCTTCCTGTGTTGGTGAGCTCAAATGAACAACACAGAAGGAAACCAAAAGAAACATATCTATTTCTTTAAGCCTAGAGCTCAAAACATCTTGCTATTCCTTTGGGTCTCTTTGGGTCCCTCCTTGGTCTTTCTCAGCAATCCAGAGCCAAAGGCACCATCCCAGCAGAAAGCATCTCTAGTCCACAATAAGACAGGGCACCAAGTTTGGCAAAGAGAGCCCAGATTTAAAGATCTTCAGATCCTTAGATCTTTAACTCCCAAAGACTTTGAATGAAAAAGGGCCCTACCAAAATATGATAGTCCTTCAAACTTTGGGCTCATCTCCACAGTTGGTGCAAAATTTAGTTTTTTAAGACTTTAAAATAATTGTAATATTTGTTGATGTTTGGTAAACAGTAACATTGTAACAATGATCTCAATCGTAGTCAGAACATGTCAATCATTTATAAAACCTGAGTTCAGGAATACCAGAAAGGCAACTGTGCAGAAGCAAACAAAAAATCCCCAACAAATTTTTCATCCATTAACTGAGGCCTGAACTTTCTTTAACTTGAGAAACAGCTTTTCATAATAAAAGCAACTACTGATTGAGTTCTTACAATACACTGGCATTTTGCATGCATTAGTCTTCACTGTTTTATGAGTTAAAGATTATCTCTACTTTGTATATGAAGAAATTGAAGCTTGGTTTGGTTAAGTAATTTGTTCAAAACTGAGGCTCGCCTGGCGGCACAAGCGGTTAAGTGCGCGTGCTCTGCTTCGGTGGCCCGGGGTTCGCAGGTTCCGATCCCCGGCGCACACCAATGCACCGCTTGTTAAGCCATGCTGTGGCGGCGTCCCATATAAAGTGGAGGAAGATGGGCACAGGTGTTAGCCCAGGGCCAATCTTCCTCAAGAAAAAGAGGGGAGGATTGTCACCGGATGTCAGCTCAGGGCTAGTCCTTCTCACAAAAAACAAAACAAAAAAGCCCAAAAAACAAAAAAACATATATCTAGATGAGGAGGAACTGGGATTCCAACGTAGGTATTAGAATGTAAGACCCATGCACTTAGCTACAGCTCTATATGGACACCTGTTTTACAGTTAAAAATTAAGCTTGACATATTTGGCTAAACTATATGAAACTGACATTTCTGTAAGTGAAAAATGGTCACATATTAGCAAATTCCTGTGGTTCAACTTAATACTATACAAATGCCACTAGGAGGGCTTTGTGACTCATGGTGAAAGTAAATGACTGATTTAGAACCTTTGAAGAGGAGGAAGATTCGATGGATGTGAGAGAGAGAAATTACTAAGAAGAAGAAAAGCAAAAATGGGGGCATGGGAAACTCAGAGACCAAGTTCTCCCACCTCATGATTTTCCTGAGGCCAGTTATGCCAGGGCAGTAATTAAGCTATTCACCTTGTAGTCTTGCTTCTGAAAAGAGTCAGTGTGAGACCTGATTACCACTGAGCACTTTGTAGACAGTCATAACACATTTCAGGTATAAGTTAAAAGAATAAACTCTCTGGAACAAATTCTTCCACTGCTTTCCTTTAAACCAATATTCATTATTTTTCTTACGTGGAACTGAGACTGTGCTTCTTCTCCGACTGGTCCCAGTTATGTGAGCTGCTACTTTCTGAAGACCTCTTTCTCTTACTTCCGGAGGAATATTTTGTTGCTTTTCTAAAAGAGAAATGACAAAGAATCATCAACGTGTGTCAAACTACTTCTCAAATACATTGCTGTCCACAGCTGTTGTCAATCAGGCATTGTAAGCACACTGGGCTTCCAAAACTGATTATATGGGTTTTCATAAAAACGGCCTACATTTTAGTACGATGATGAGTCTACCTTAGCTTATGTTCCATTTGAGAAGGACTCTAGACGGGAGGAATAAGCAGTAACTTGGGTATGATTTATTGGGATCTCAGAGGTAAGGTCCAACTAGAATATAAAAAGTGAAGATTCTGGTCCTTTTCCAAAAAAAATAAATAAATAACTGTGGACTCATAATAACCGTGCTGAGTCTTTTAAAGTGCATAAATAACCAAGTATTGGCAAATTTCCACTTTGAGTTATATATAGAAACAATCAGCGTGATACCAATTTTTGTCATCTCAATTATTTTTCCTCTTTGCTGGCTACCACTGGTTCTAAAGAAGTAGCCGTGATAACAGTTGTCCATCGATGCTACAAACTGGTGTCCAGTAGTCATCCCCCCACCTCCCAAAAGGAATATGAATTGACATACTGGTCACGATAATCAGTGTATGAGCATATATATGGCTGATTCCCTAGATCATAATAAACACATAACATTTATGGATCACCATCTGAAGTACTTTGGAGCAGCCTTAAAAAATACAAATTCAACAAACTACTCTTTAAAAAAATCAGCTCAAACTTCCCAAGTGTGCTTACATTGGTTGTTAAGATAAATTATATTCTTTCATCAAGCAATGATCACCAGGGACAAGGCACTGCCCTACACCCTACAAGTGCTGCAAAGATTAATCACTGATTACACTGACTGATCCCTCAAGAAACATACAGTCTTTTAGAGAAGATATGAATTAGAAAGTGAAAATTTACCTGTGAGAAATAGAAATAAAGAGTGGTGGGTGTTCAGAGAAGGGGAAGACTCCTATTTATTGGAGAGCTGAGGTCAGGAGAGGTTTGTGCTAAGGCTCTTTCATTCACTTACTCAAACAAACCATTGTGCCCATCACATCTATGCCAGTCACTATTCTAGGGACAAGTAGAAAGAATTATAAACAAATGAATGCAAAAAATTGTTTGAGGTGCAAGGATAATTCTCTGAACAGAGTGAGGATCGGCTGGCTTGGGGTCTAGATCTAGAACGAGATCTAGAACAAGGCCCAAGGCAGGATGCACAAAGCATTCCTGGGACACAGGCATGGGAAGAGTTCGGTTTCAGACTTGAATGAGGAGCCAAACTATAGAGAATCTGAATGTTAGCCTAAGAGATTTGGATTTTATAGGACATGGGAAGACTCTTAAAAAGTTTTGGGGGCCGGCCCCGTGGCTTAGCGGTTAGGTGCGCGCGCTCCGCTGCTGGCGGCCCGGGTTCGGATCCCGGGCGCGCGCCGACGCACTGCTTCTCTGGCCATGCTGAGGCCACGTCCCACATACAGCAACTGGAAGGATGTGCAACTGTGACATACAACTATCTACTGGGGCTTTGGGGGATAAATAAATAAATAAATAAAATTAAAAAAAAAAAAAAGTTTTGGTCAGGGAAGCGAAGAGATATGTGTTGTGCTTTAAGTTAACCTATCTAACACCATGGTTTGATGTATAGGAGGTGAGAGGGCTGGAGAATGGCAAGTTACCACACCATCATAATTGATCAGGACTGAAAACAGGAGGCTTTAATCCAGGCTAGTAATAGAGGGAACTGAAAGGAAGTGCTACAATTCCATTGTGGAGGAATGAATGGGAAATGAGAATCGCTTCCATCTATCTGGTATTAGTTACTTATTCAGGATGGGTAGGCATTCATACAATACTGAAGACCAAACTTGGCGTGGGCATGCATAATCAATTACGCATTACTCTCAGGATGCTCAGCTTTCAAGGTTGATGTGTCCATTTACCTTTAACCTCCACTGTTAAATAATTCATAATGCCTTGCCTGCCCCTAGACCTTAACATTTTGTTTTTAAATATTCAACAACTGAATCCAATTATAAATATCTCACATTTGAGGTCATTGCAAGTATATGGACAAGCCTAGATTTAAAAGCAAATTCTAGAGAGGAAATTTCCTACTGACTATAGCAAATACCTCCCAGAAAAGAAACCTGTGAATATGTATATTGGGTGTCATGGATACATCTTGGTGTACTGAGAAGTATGTGATTTCTACACCTTATTGGGATGAATAAAAAAGAATACTTTTCTCTTAACACTGAAAATAGTGCATGCATCTACTGTAGACTATGGATTTGGTGTGCCTCATCAGAAGAGGTGGAGTGTTCAATATTCTGACTACCATCTTTGTCTTCGGGGAAATGACCAAAGAGAATACTTAGACCCTAAGACCAGGTCTTGTCCTTAATAATTAATAGAGTCAATTTAATAAAGGAAAATGGGGGCTGTCAAGTGATGATGAAGCTTATCGTGTTGGAAAATGATAGCTGAAAAGTAGGAAGACATCATTAACAACACATATGTTAAAAAATCGTTTCTTCTCTCCCAGGCTGGTGCGCCCCAGGGCTATAAGTCTCTGGTATATGTATTCAGGCCTGTATGGCCATTAGTGTGGGATAATGGAGCTATGGTGAACCGAATGTGAAGTAGCAAATTTAATTCAGTAATTTATTTACTCATGCATTCATTCAAAAAATATGTTAAGAGCCTTCTATGTAGAGAGAGATGGTGGTGGCATAAGACTGTGAATTTACTAACTGCCACTGAATTGTGCTCTTTAGAATGGATAATTGAATGTTATGTGACTTTCATCTCAATCAAAATACACACACACACACACACACACACACACACACAGGCCAAAAGTGGTGCAGGTAAGGGCTGGGGGTCAGAGGGGATGAAAGAGAATCTACTAGGCTTGAGGCATAGAGTTGGGTGCTAAATAGAGAGAGGTGAGAGAAACAGACCTGTTTTCTGTCTTTGTGGATCTTTAATCTAGTAGGGAATCGTACAGCACACAGATAAAATATCTATAAAAATAAAAGGAAGTGAACAAGATAAGTGTGACAGAAATAACAGGGTGTAGGGAAACTCACTTAGAAAGATGGCCAGGGAACGTGCCTCTGAAGAGATGATAATTAGGTGACAGAGATGGAGGATGAGAAGGAGCCAGTTTTGTGAAAAGCCAGGAACTGAAGAAGCCCGAAGGAGGACCAAAGAAGCCAGCCTGGGCAACAGCACTGAAGGAGGATGGGGATCAAGAGCAGGCTGCTACCCATGAACAGGGTGATGGCCAGAGGGTGGGGACCACAGGATAAGAACTGTGCGTGGGCAGGAGTCTTGGGAAAGACATGACGGAGCAAGAGGCTTTTGCAAAAAGAAAGACATAGCGCCTAGTGGTGGTGGGAAGCATAGAAGATGGGTAACTTTGGGGCCCTTGTTTATCTCACTTCTAGCCACGTTCCAGAAAGGATTTAGATGGCTTATTTAGAACACACTAGAAGGTAAAAAATAAATAATTGAAGAAATTGAGGTGAAAGGAAAATCCACGTTGGAAAAAAAAGATTTAGACGAAATAAAGTTCTGACCATATATGGGCCATGGATTTGGTTCTGAGCTTTCTAGCTCCAATGCAAAAATGAAAATGAGACGGGGAGCAGCAGTCAGAGGTGGGATGTGTGGATGGGAGCAGAGAGAAAGAGGATGGAGAGCTGTTCACCCTGTCATGAAATTGACAGTAGAAAATTAAAATAACAAAAAAATACTACCTGAAATTGTAGGAAGAGATTCCTCATAGGTTCTCAAAATCATCTGCAAATAGTATTGAATAAAGCTTGTTAATTTCCCTAAAAATTTAAACTGACTATAGAACATCTATGGCTCTTCTTGCTGATGTCTACCAGGAAATTTCCACATATGATATCAAGGAAGCTTTCAATTGTTCAAGGATAGCGTTTATGTGTTAGAGTGGCTGCTGGTATGAATACCGAGGCAGCTGTCCCTACATGGTGATTGAAGGACGGTCCTCTGTCTGGGAAAGTTCTGTGTCTGCACGAAGTCTTTGAAAGGCCACACCTGGAACAGCACAGGAGAAAGGAGCCATCTGCCAATTAGGTCAGCCTAAAGTCCCCAGGCCTCTTTGTGGCTGATGGATGTGTCAGCCATGTCACTTCACTTTCTCTGTGTGAGGTGTGTATGTCTGCACGCATGGATGTGTATGGGTGCACTGTGTAGTAAAGTCTTGGGGCTATAAATTATTGCACAGACCCAAACCTCAAGATACACACACACTTCCTCTCTCTCATGATGCCCGCAGACGTACACAGCTCATCAGGCTGGGACCTGGCAACGTCACGTCCTTCTTTCATTTCTGAGAATGTGGCTGAGGCATTCTTATCATATTTTACCACTTTTCCATATCTTTGCTAAACATCTAGTGTCACCTTCTTTGTTACTAACCAGTAGGGAAAACCAGTAAGAGCAAAAACTGAGCTTTTCTATTAAATGGGCAGACTCTGACTTGGCTCATCTATGGCTTCTAAATTCCCCTCCATTCAGTTTTGTCAACCCTGAGGTTTTGCCCATCACTGCCCTCCTTTCCCATCACTGCTGTTAATTTTGCAACTGCCAGAAACTCCCCTTCTCTGTACTCCCACCCCAAATCAGAAGCTCTCTGCTTCTCCCTCTGCCGCCAGCCTGACCCCAGATAAGGGGGGGACCGCCTGTAGTCCAGTGGGCACTGGTGTATGGGAAGGAAAAGCGAGAGGTGGCCCCTCATATTCTCTCTCTCTCTCTTTTTCTTTCTCTCTCTTTCTCCCTCTCCCTCTCTCTCTCTCCTTCTCTTTCTCTCTGTCTCTCTCTCATTTCTCTCTCCCTTTCTCTCTCTCTCTCTTCTTGCTCTTGCTCTCTCGATCTCTCTCATTCTGGGACAAAAAGGAAGGAAGGAAGGAAGAGGAGCAGCAGGAAAGGGAGAAGGGTATTCCTGCAGTGTGGGAGGCAGAATAAAAGAAGGATTACAGTATGATCAGACAGCCTGGATTCAATTCTGTCAATTACTACTTTGCTCAAGTTACTTAACTGATGTGAACTTTAATTTCTTCATCTATTTAAAAAAAAAGAGGAAAGTAATAATGATTCCTTCCTCACAGAGCTGTTGTGAGGATTAAATGAGATAATGTATGTAATGGACATAGGATGTTTACTGGAAATAGTCTATTCAATTAATGGTGCCTGAAAAAAATGGGGAATTCTTTCCCCAGCTACACTCTCCCACCCCTCTGTGTCCTCTCCTAGTTTCTCTCTGATCTAGTTAGTGGCAGGATGTGGGAATGGGAGGGACAGGGAGAATGGCAGGAAAGAAATATGTAAATCTGTCCCCACTACTTCTCTCACCTCCCCCCTCCAGCCCCAGCATCCAGCCCCTTCCTCAGTCTCCAGATTTCTACCCTAGTTCTGAGTTTCTCTCCCCTACCACCTGTGGGTTTGCCACCCCTCTAACCGCAGGGACTGCAGAGTCCCATTCCTCAGCCTTCTCAGGACTCTTCCCCAACCCAGGGCCTTTCCTGTTCCTGGTAACTTGGGGCACTGGAGTCACGGGTGCTTCAGTACAGCTCGTGTGCAGTGGGCGCCCTGCCCAGGCCATGCTTCCAGGGTGGCCATGGAGCAGATGGTTTCTAGGACTCACAGAGGGGAGTCTGATTTCATTTCTCATAGAAATAGCATCAGAGGTGATGTCTGGGCTCTACTGTGAGGACTCCTTAGGGTTATAAACCAGAGCCCTAACCACCAACATTACACCGTTTCTATGCAAAGACATACCAAACAATAGACTTACATCCTCCTCCTACCCTGGGAATGTCCCTATTTTAAAACAATGATGTTCCTTCATAGTTTACAGACTATTTTCATATCTGTGTTCTCATCTGACCTTTCCAGGTAGGCAGAAGGTAAATATTATTAAATGCCGTCTTACAAAGAAGGAAGCAGCCCGGAAAAAAAACTTGATTTGACATGTCACATTGCTGAAAGTAAAATTATGTAATCACATTTAGTAACATAAACTTAGCTAACATAATGTTTCTGCTAGGGATCCTGTGTAAGCAAATTCCATACACAGATAGAAATATTTTGTAATTTGTCATTTACGAACTGTAAATTGAGACATCTTCACCTTTAGTTTCTTAAAGTATCTCTTTCTTCCCTCTTCCTTTCCTCTTTCTTCGTCTCTATATGCATACAAAAATAAATATCTATTTAATTCCAGAGATCAACAATGCGGGAAGAACAGAAAACACCATTATTTGGCCTTTTTTGGCTTCTGAATAAGAAAAAAAATCACACACGTCCTTTATTGTTGACCTTGAACACACTGCCCTGTCTATGCCTCAGTTTCCACAGTGTGAGACATAAAGGTTGGACTAGATGGGGAGGGTCTCTGGAGTGGACCAGGAGTCGGCCAGGACCCGCTGTTTGGTGTGTTCCATCTTTTCCTAGTTCTATGAATTTGGGGGAAATCACTTAAACACTCTGGGCCTCAGTTTCCTCCTTTGTAAAATGAAGAGTGTAGACTTGATGACCTTAAATCCTTCTCCTCGACCCTCTGTGCCCACTAGGGGAGTTACCTGGTAGCCCACCTACCTTTCTAACAAACTGACGCAGCTGCCACTTGACTTGCCAGCAGGGATCGTTCATACTCTCCTCATCATTGGGGTCCCAGTAGCTGTCGTCTTCATTTAAGAAACAGGCAATGCCACTTTTGGAGTATTTGTTCTGCATCTGGGTTGAGATGGAATATAGCACAGTATTATGCACAGGCGCTTTATATTTTTGTTCATTTAGGAGTTAAAACAACAGAAACTGATGACAGATTCAGAGGAGTCTTGGCACCTTGAATAAGCTTATGGCTTGAAAGTAAGCATGCTGTCCTTTGTCCTTTGAATAAAGGTAAGCAGTTGGATGTGGTGGAAAGGATACAGGTGTGGGCCAGCCATCCTGGGTCACAATGCCCTTCACTGCCCCTGCCGTTAGACAGCTGTGTGTCATTCAACAAATTGCCTCTTCTCTTCTGTGTCTGTTCTTCATTTGAGTTTTGAGCTGGTTTACGGTGGTGATCTTGGAGGCCCCTCCTGGCTCTAACATAATGTGGATCTCATTCTAAAGCTGGAAACCCACCTAGGTACAAAGTAGGCAAGTCCATTTAAATTCCAGGATCCTAAATAAAAAAGTATTCAAACACTTTGGGGTGCAGAATGTGTTCTGTTTCTTGATCTGAGCTTTGACTGTCTGAGTAGATTCTAGCTATTGGTGTGATTTCTACTCCTCTGGATGGCAGAACCTGGACCACATTGCCACTAGAAATCTGCAAATTGCCTCTTAAATGTCCACACTAGCTGGCGATTTACCTGCAGAGACTTGAAACACCATTTGAAGGTTTGTGTTCTCCTTCTGGATTGAGAGTAAACATTTACAATAGCCAGATCCTTGTCAGCAAAGTCTTTGCTAGATATTAAACACACATGCCCACATACATGCATGCATGCACACACACAAACACACACTCATGCACACATACACCCCAAACCATCCAGAACACTTCAGGCTAATAACTGGTTAATCTTACAAAGGAAAACGCTAAGTCCATGCAAGGTCGGAAATTTTTTTTTTTTTCCTGTTTTTGTTTTTGACAACTGGGATTGAGGAGATGTTATTTCCCTGTACAAATCTGCTGAATTGCCTTTTCTCTGGGGAAATAAAATGTTTCTAATTATAACTTTCACTGCTACAGAGCTAATTTTCTTCATTTTATTTGAAGCAGGGAAAAGGGCAATTTTTACCTGTTACTTGAATTTAGGGGACTCCAAAGCTTGAAGGAAGGATCAAACTTAGTGGTGACCTGCTCCTTTCTACAGAAAGACAATCTCACTCCTAACCAAAATAATTTAACAGTTTAAGAGGTCCTAGCTAGAGTCACGAGTTCTGTACTCAGCCGTGTACCCTTTGGACATTGGTCAAGATCTCTCAAGTGCAAAAGCACAAACCTGAGTTAATTAATTCCTTTCACACATTCTGGCATAGAACATTCATTTACTTTTAAGTAAATGTTTATTTTCTCTCTTCCTTTTTTTAATTACAAGAGTAAAACATTCTTCTAGCAGATGTAGTGAGGATGGCAGCTGGGGCCACCTGAGTTGAGATATGACTGGCAGTGGAATTAGGCAGCACTCTTTGCCCCTATCCACCCCATCTTCTTCTACTGTAGACATCTCTATGCACCTCCAATTTATATGGCAGCTCAAAAGACTTTCTGAGGAAGAAACTCAATCACACACGGGTTAAAAATATGAGAATATGTTTAGCAAACTGGGGGAGAAGATCAGAAAGGAAGAACTGGATTCAGCCCCAAGGCCTAAGGGTGGTTCCAGGAAGAGCAAGTTAGTTTTATCAGACACTGTCCCAGCCCAGCCAGGATGGGTGTGCCTGGACAGGAATTGGTTTGGTGAAACTGAATAAAGAGGCTCAGAAACTTCCATAACTTGTTGGGACAAAAAGGTGTGCATGACACGGAGGTGAGGGAGCAATTTGTCTTCTCACTTCACAGCAGTCGGAAGCTGTCTCAACATGAAAGGGATAAGAGTGTGGGAGGCTAGGATGAGGGGGAGGAGAAGGCGGAATTGAGAGCTGCCTGGAACCAGCCAGTAATGGTAGCTGGCAGCCCCTGTGAACTGAGGTGGAGTTAGAAGAATGGAAGTGGAGCGGGGCCAGAAGCAGGGCCCAGCCCAGGCCAGTACCAACTGCTGGCTGGTGCCTCTGGATACCCTTTGGGGCTGTTCCAGAAACACTTTCAGGAGGTGGGAAAGAGAACCTTAAAAACTGAATAAGGTCCTAGGTGTACATGGGAGGAAGGTTGACAAGCTAATGAGACTCTATTGTTACCCCAAATTTAATGAAGCCTAGAAACACTGAGGATACACGGGCAACATGGAAAATATAGAAAAGTAAAGAACACTTTTCTAAAAGTAAAACAAACAAAAAACCCATTAAAATTACCCTGCCTCCTACTTAACCCTTGGATGATCTCTCTTGTTTACAGGATTGAGATCAGACTGTGTGTGGGCAATTTTGTGATGGTTGTTTTCTCTTAAGACTATATGAAAATGTCATGTTCTTTAAATCTGTATGAAAATAATATAGGATAGCATAGATATTTTTATGACATTTGCTATAGAAAATTTATAAAATATAGAAAAATAAAAAGGAAAAAATGCACCCATAATCCTACCATCTAGAGATCACAATTGTCAACATTTTGGTGTTTCTCCCTCTAGACATTTTTATGCATAAATATTGATTTCTGAACAATGGAAACCCAGAAAGAAAGCCCCAACCATCCCTCATCTTCACATGTTTCTTGCATTATCATATTTGATAGTTTCTTCTACAGACCTTGGCCAGTGCTGGTGACTAGACGCATGGGTGAGGGGGGTGCTGTGGTTATTTCAAGAATAGTTAATGATGATTAATCTGATGTGTCTCTCTGCCCCCTTCCTTTCCACCTGAAAGCATGAATTTCCTGCAACACATCTCAAGCTAGAGTTTTCTCGCGCTAACCACATCTGGGGGTTGTGTGTGATGTGTGCGCTATTCTCATTTACATGCCTCCAGAAGGAGAGAGAGCTTTTGCACCAGGTGCCTGCTCTTCTGCTCCAGAAGCCCTTGGTTCTGAGAAGTGGATTTCCACTGCATTTACTGTTTGTGCCTTTGCAAACATGTGGCTATTTAGGCCAGGGCCAACCAGTCTTTGGCAGGGCTTGAGGTCAGCAGGGTGGACTCCTTTGCTGGCTGGCTCAGAGACATCAGGGTGGCAGCCCTGACCCACTCTGCTGCCCAGACATTGGTCTCTGACAATCACTTTCTGCAAACCACAAATAGCATAAAGGATCATTTATGGAGATTGGTAGATAAGGGTCCCGTTCTCCTTTCTCTTTCCCATCTATGATGCCACAGTGATAGGCAGTCCCCTTGTCATAAAACTTTCTCAGAGAGACATAGGCTTGAGAGGCTGAGTCCATATTTATTGTTCATGTTTGACGGTTTACAGGCTTATTTGTGAAGGTCCAGTCCAATGTTACTCAGCCCTCCTTAACCCATACTCCCTATAATGCTTGCTCACTATATCTTCTGCAAATTTTCACTAGCCAAAGTGGAACCTGTGATCTGTTTTAGGAAATTAATACTTATGTTGAATATGCTTTTCCAAATTCTCCACAGACACCCAAGGAGGTTCAGATTCATTTTCCCTTGCAAAAATCCCCGATGAAGAGGGTGACAACTTCAAAAGACCTCTCAATACTAATTACAGTTACAACTGGCCACAATTTATTGAGCACTTGTTTAATGCCTGAGTTCAAAATTGCGCTTTACCTTTTACTAGCTTTGTAATCTTGGACAAATCACCTAACTTCCTGAGCCTTGGTTTTTTTACCTATAAAGTTGGGTAACTATATTTACTTTACAGTATTTTTATGAGGATAAGGATGAAATAGGGCAATACCTGGCAAAGTCTCTGGAACACAGTATTTGCTCAACATCTGTTAAGTCTCCTCCCTTTCTGGGACTCTCAGTGAATTCTTCTACCTGTCTATATACCTGTATGTAGACATATGTAACTATGCAATCAGCAAAAATATGTGCAAGTAGAGAGATGTCAAGAATTATTTGATATTTCCATTTTATAGTAGAATTTAAAAATTTGATCATATATATAGACAATTGCATGAGTCAGCTCAGTCAAGAACCAGTTAATTCAGTCTTAAAATTAGGCCAACTTATATGTAATGTGAGCAAATTGAAGGAACAACTTGTGTATAGAGAGACAGACTCACTCTGTTTATGCTGCAAAGTTAACAAAGGTTAGGACATGCTGGCTCCAAATTGGTAAACACAGCAGTATTCCAGGCTCTCATGCGGACTTAGAACCAAAGGCATGATTATAGTTACACTGATTTATTTCTTACAAATATACAGCCTCTTCTAAATGCGCCCTACGACAAAGCTCACTTTACTAGTCATCTCATGGTAGCCATCATTTTCATAATTACTTGCAAATCAAACAAGAATCTTCATCCATTTGCAGAGGAAAAATTTCCAACCAGTTGAGATAAACAACTTTATACTCCATGGGGTATATAAACTGTTTCCTTAACAGATAAACACTGTGGCTTTTACGCAATTTACATTTTTCTGAGACCCTGAGCCAGCTGTGTTTCCTAGCCAGCTGGCAGATTCCATGTTGCCTTATCCTAATGTTGCAGGATGCAGTGTGCTTCACAAGGTGCAAATATATTAACCCCATGGACACTCTTCTGTAGAAGGAAGAGCATGACCTAGGTGCCCGAAGACCTGGGTCCAGCTCTGCTGCCAAAGCCCTGTCTGAGCTTGGATAAGTAATTTCTTTGGGTGTCTCTAGTCTTCTTATCTATAAAATGGGGGGTGTCCAAAGTTCCTTCCAGCTGCAGTTCTCGGCTATATAAGATACAATCATATAGTATGTTAATTACCATATACACAAAGAAATATGCAAAGAAGCCAAAAGCTGAGTTGGTTTATTTTCAGCAATTTTGAATTCATACTTCCAAAAGTTTTACTTAGTTGAAAAATACACAAACTAGAATGGCACAAAGTTTTTTTCCCTGTCAAATGTACTTGGATTTGTACCTGGACCATCCACAGGTATAGAATGGTAGTTTTATTTTCAATTATTTTATCATGAACAGTAAAACGCTGAGTCCATCTGGCAACCTCCTCGTTACAGACTTTACCCAAGACATGCCTGTGGCCCCGGAATAGGCAGAATGCTGGTCCTTTTTATTCTCACTACTGCCAACACCGAAATGCCACAGATCTAAATCTAAAACATATTTCAAAGGTCTGGTTTACCCTGACCCCATGTCCTGGAGGAAAAAGGGAAATCTCCAAGACTTGGTTCTGATTTTAGTTCATATGTGTATTATTCTACCTGCTGACTTTTGGAAGTCTGACTTGTCTATATGAAGGCCTTCCTCTTAATACTTTAAGATATTTAAAAGAAAGAGGTGAGAGGAAGAGTCTGATATTTGTTAACCGCCCTGAAGTCTAAGGAACAGCAAACAGTGCATAAAGAGCATTTCTGTCTGTGCAAGCCCCAAGTCTAGTTTTCTGCAATGTCTGTCTGAAAAATCCGCTGGGATTAGCCACATCTGGAGCACAAAACAACAGCGTTGTTGTTAGTGATTCAGAGCCTGACTTTGGGTAGAGCCCTGACTCTACCCTGCTCCCTGTGTACTAGAAGGACCACCACATTTGTGAAGGCTGGTTATTCATGCAACAAGCACTTCGTGAACACCTACTCTGTGGGAGCTCTGTGCTAGTCCCCGAGGCGTAATGGTGAGCAAAAGCAGACCCGTCCTGCCCTGCTGCAGCTACCCCCAAGAATTAGAGTCAAGAACTACAAAGCATTTAGCAGAAAGCATGCCATGAGTTGTAGCAATTGCTAATATCATAAAACACATATACTGCTGAGGACAAAAAGCTCCCTCAGGAGTTCTGCTGCCTGCAGCCGCTAGCAACTGGTGGAGCCAGTTCTGTAACTGTACTTTGTTCACATAATCCTTTCAACTTATACTTTCGCAAAGTCCTCAGTAATTATATGCATTAGCAGTTAGGGTCCACAAGCGGAGAAAGGGAGGATTTTCTTCTGTAAAGTCTTCACAGAGGAGCAAACAGAGAGGCGGTTAAGCGGAGGGCTGCTGAGAGCCTCTGTCAGAGGCGGTGCGCATTGTACTGACCTGTTTCAGCTCGTTGGTGAAGTACAAGTAAGTCACAGCCACACAGAGGGCCTGCAGGAGTACTGTGAAGATCAGGATCAGCACGCAGGTCTGTCCGGGGCTGGGGCCCCCTGCGGCCGGCATCATGGCCATGATCCTGTCAGGGACTGACTGTTGCAGAGAGAGCTGGGCAGCAGGTTATTGCCGGGGAACTAATGATGGGGGTGGAGCCCTTCTTAAGTTTCATTTAAAAAAACAGCAAGAAATGAAACTGAAACCACCTGCTGGGGAAGCCAGAGGAGCACTCGTCATGTTCCTGGAAACTCTCTCTGTACCGCAGCAACATCAGGGACCAAGGAGGTAAAGTTTCGCCGGAAAGATTCTTCAAAACTGAAAGGGCTATGTGAGGCTTAAGACAAGCAGCTCCTTCTCCAGTGCTCAGGGCCTTTTGGGTCCTGAGGAGGTGCCTTTGCCCAGCAACTGTGCCAATTCCTAGGCTCCCCTGTCACATGTGATATGGAGGAGGAAGAGCAATGATTTGAGGAATACAGAAAACTCTCTGCCCCCGTATAATGTGGGTGAAATAGGTAAAAGTCTGAGCCATTTATCTGGGAGTCAACAGATGTGCATTCTAGTCATTCTTCTGCCGTTTTCTAGCTGTACACCTTGACTAAGTCACTCACATTTTGGTGCTGTAGTTTCCTTACCCACCAAGCAATAGGATTTACTAAGGGGTCTTTAAAATCCCTAAGATTTTGATCATTTTATGATTCTATCATTGCCTGATCATGCAGAGATAATAGAATTTCATTTCTCTACCTAAAGGCAGTGTGTCCAAGACCTCTTCTGACAAGACGTCAATAGCTATAAAACAGAAACTATTATACCATCACCAGCTGTTAGCTAACATGTTGATTTTGGGGGCAATTGGGGAGTGGTGTGGGTTGATGTAGTAGATTTCATTATTGTTCCCGATTCTTTATCCCTCTCTCTATTCATGCTCATTGCCATGTACTTTATAGTTCATCTCTCTAGAGTATATATTTCCCTGCATCATTGATGTTGGACTTGGTCTTGGGACTTGGCCATTGGGATATTAGTAGACCTAACATGAGAAAGCTTGAATTATAATTGCACAGTTAGTCTTGCCTCCTTGACGGCTGTCATTTCCATAGGAAGACAAACACTGGGTGATCCAAGGAGAATGAGAGATGCATGGAGCTGAGTTAAATCCAACCTAACATTTTGGAGCCAAGGTCAGCTGAACACAGCCTAGATCAGCTGATTCTCAGGTAACCCACAGACAAGTGAGCAAGAATAAATAATTGTTGTTTTAATCCACTGAGTTGTTGGCTGCAGAGCATTATTGTGACAGTAGATAACTGAGAAAGCCTAGGACTGGGGAACACTTAGGATACTTTTAGCTGCAATTAACAGAGAATGCTACTTAAGAGAGCTTCAATAAAATTTCAATTGGTATTTAGTGTCAAGCAACTGAAGCCAATTCAAACAAATTTAAACAGAAAAAGCAATTTATTAAAAGGATATTGGGGGACGAGTGATGTCAGCATCATGGCGGAGTGAGCTTCCCCCAGTGAACTCTCCCCTTCTAAGACACAACAAAAAGGACATTCATATCCCAACAGAAGCTATTCACACAACACAGGGGACGTCTGAGGCATCCAGGCAGCCGTACACTCGAGGACTGAGGTGCTGGAATCCCCAGAGTAAGTAGAAGGAGGTAAGAGGAGCTCCCTTCCTTCCCTAAGGACTGCGACCCAGAGACTGAGACCATGCAGCTCTCGGGGGGTGGGGGGAGGGGCGGCTCGCCGGTGAAAATCGGCAGTCTCCAAGACCCCTCACAGCCCGTGGGGATCCCCCTATGAGGGAGCGGAACCCTTGCAAGGGTACTTTAACAAGCTAGCCCCTCAGGAGAGCAGAAAGCAATAGCGAGGTGAGAAACCTCTGAGATTGAGAAGGCGAAAGTAAGCACCCCTCCCCCACCTGGCCCACCTGACCGGCGCTTCAGCACAGTGGTGCTTCAGCTCAGCCTCGTCCCCAGAGGCAGTGGCCCCCAGGTGCTCGGGCCGACCAGCGGTGGGTCGAGCCTGCACCCCCACACCAGAGGCAGCAGCAGCGCAGGCCCCACCGAGCCACAGCCCCAGCTGCCCTGGCTGGACCAAACCATGGCCCCAGCTGCATCAACTGGACCATGCCCCCCCCCAGCTCCTTTGGCTTGACTTGCCCCTCCCCCTGGCTCCAGCTGCTTCAGCTTGGCCTGTGCTCAAGCTCCAGCTAACTTGGCTCCAGCAACTTCAGCCCACCACACTCCAACTCCAGCTTCTTTGGCCCAGCAGAGCTCCAGCTCCTCCTTCTTCAGCCCAGCACACTCCAGTTCCAGCTTCTTCGGCCCAGTGGCCCTCCAGCTCCTGCTTCTTCCGCCCAGCGGCACTTCAGCTGCAGCTGCTTCAACTCACAGGCACCTGAGTCCCAGCTGCTTCAGCCTAGCTGCGCTCCAGTCCCAGCTGTTCCCACGCTCCAGCTCCAGCTGTTCCCACTCTTCACCCCCAGCAGCCTCCACTCAGCCACACTTCAGATCAGCCAGGGGCCAATGAGAGTGCCCATGGATTGAGCAGGGTCAGAATACACAGCCCTTGACCCCTATCCAGTGGCAGCAAGAGGAAACTGCGACCATATATTTTCACTATGAAGAAAAGTAAGCCAACACTGACAGGCACTATGCAAAAATATATTAAATCTCCAGACCAAAAGGAAAATGACAAGCACCCAGAAGTCAACCCAGGAAGCACAGAAATGTATAACTTTAATAACAGAGAATTCAAAATAGCCATCATAAAAAAGTTTAACGAAATACAAGAAAACACAGAGACAATTCAATGAAATCAGGAGTCTCTTCACAAAAGAGATTGAAACTATAAAAAAAAAAACCAATCAGAAATCTTAGAGATGAAAAACACAATACAGGAGAAAAAGACAAATCTGAAAGCCTTAAGCATCAGAGCTGACAATATGGAGAAAAGAATTAGCAATATTGAGGACAGCAATGCAGAAATGCTCCAGATGGAGGAGGAAAGAGAACTAAGACTACAAAGAAATGAAGAAACTCTCCAAGAAATATCCAACTCAATTAGGAAATCCAACAAAAGGATTATAGGTGTTCCAGAGGGAGAAGAGA